GTATTTTTTTGCATACGGAAAAAGTCAATTTTCAGTATCTTGTATACGGAAATATTTACGAATTTATTATACTGTTTTTCTACGTTTTTTATACGTTTTTTAAATGTATTATTTCCGTATACTTTCCTTATACTGATTATTTATAGGGCCTGCAGGAGATAATCTATCCTAATCTGAACAGACAAAAAAATCTATATATACATTACCCCTAATACTTTTTTAAATATCAAGATCTTCAATGCATATCCTTATTCTCTAATGCAAAATTTTGGCGTAAATCTGTTACATATTCTTCTGTCTCTTCTCCCTAATATAAATACAAGCCCAAAAAGAATGTAAATGGAGTCATTTAAAAGGGTAGTATATTGGAGTGATGACTATTATAACTTCTTTTATTTTTACCATGCCTGTCGATTTATACACTAAAATTTACAATTTTTTGTTAAATGCTGAGAAAGAGGACATTACCACTAGGTCTGTTATCTATCAAGAAATCGAAGACAATTCCTGAATATCTCAAAACGAACCAAAAAGTATTATTGAGCGGGCTATTACATTTGTAAAGAATCAATATGATTAAAGTTCCTCATGCCATACTACTCTTCTTGAAATTTTACCAGAGGTAAGATATTTCTAAAGAAAGTAAAAAGAGAATTTATTTGAGTGATAAATAACGCAGACTAATACTGTTTTGAGAAAAAAGAGTATAATAGTCTAAATATCCTATTAACCCACACACAGGATTTTTTTCTCGGCAATGTGAAGGGTAGTTAGGCTATAGTATATGCTTTATTCAATATGGTTATTTTAGTATCGCATAAAGTCTTTATTTGAGTGTTGGAGTAATTAACTATAAGAGAATAGAGCTTTATTTTAATCTGACAGTGCATACGCTTTTGATAATTATATATATACAGTCAAACCTTGATATAGCGAACCCTTGATATAGCGAATTTTTAAATCAAATATATTAAAATTACCTTTACTATAGTGAACTAGCCAATTAAATTCTTTAAAAAATTCGTTATAAGCTTATAACGAAGTTGATATCTAGATCCTAGAATTCGTTATATCAAGAGTTTACTGTATATATATTCAGAATTAATTAATTGTATATCTGCATTATTTTGAAATTGGTTTTAAAACAGTTTGTAATTTATGTAACATCAGTGTGGTAAAGACGAATGGAGAAAGGCCTCTTAATTCAGATAAAATTGGAAAAAATATTAAGATGCTAAAGGACAAACTTAGAAAAAATATGTTACAGCTTTACCACTATTTATTTTCAGGTGTAAATAAGATGTCTGTTTCTGAGTTAACTTAGAAGGACCCTTTAGCTAACCAAGTGATTAGCAATGATTTAGATCTGTTGAAAAATTACCAGAATGGTTGAAGAAGTCTTTTATGGTAAATTCTTCTTTTTTATTATACAGTCATATGCGAAGCATTTGGTTCAAAGAACCCCTCTGGCTAATAGCTGATATTTTTCGATCTTGATATCATTTAATTTATGTTATCATTAGAAACTAGTAGAGGATATGATTTCTTCATACCTTCCATAAATTATACAGAAAAAATGCAAAGAATTTGTGATTAGCTTTATTGAGAATGATATGAATATTTTACCACAAAAATTTTCACATAATAAAAAGTGGAAAGAATCAGATGAGAAGCTTGCAGAGGTTACATCAAGAATTTTGGATTCTCTAAATGATTCATGAAATAATCCTGCATTTAGTTTTGAGTTTGCAAAATCACAAAATGAAGGTACTTATGTAACAAATGTAATTGTACCTGCTATTCAGGTCACATTAAAAGGTCTTCCTTTAGGGAGATCATCTTATGTCAGCATGTGAGTTATAATATAATTAGTAAAAGTGATATTTTAAAAACTTAGACCGTCACTAAAGTTTTCCTTCTATTAGTGTTGAACGCCAAAGTTCAGCTAATGTTGATAGGAAAAGTGAAGGGCGAACAGGAAGATGGCTAGATATCATGTTTGTGATGAAGTATGATAAAAAAATACGAGCCCATATATGTTAAAGTTTACGCCTGTCTTGCACATCACAGAAGGAAATATATAATGAAATAAAATTATAGCGTGAAGCTAATAATGGGATGTAATGGGTTCATAAATCATTTGGGCCAGATAAAGGTGAATTCAGAATTATTGGAATGCAAGTTGCCAGACAAATAATGCGCTTAAATGTTCTCATTAGAGATATAGAAAATATTTATCATTATTATCATCTTTATGAAGCAGAAATTCGTAACAAATTTCATAAAGACTTTACTGATTTTACAGAATATTCTAATAGTTAATATGTCTTTACTACTTAATGCACCCTCAGTTAGATCCAAAAGAAATAAAGGCAGTTCAAACGTAGATTCTAAATAAATAGGATTATATATGTAATAAATTTATTATAATTTTTTCTGTATCAATAAAGTGACCCTGACAGTTAATTTTGCAAATATATATTCATGATTTTTGCTGATCATTTTCTGAGGAAATGGTTTTTGTGTGTGGTATATATCGGATAATAAAATTTTCTTAACAAAACTGATTAGTATGAACAATTGTTTGCATGTGATTTTTTTGCTAACCAATGATTATGATGTCACGTGAAATTCTTGATTAGAGCTAATCTGCCAGATGTGTCATGAAACTGACGTATGAATTAAAACATTTTATTGCTATGTCTTAATAGGTATATTTTTGCACACAAATATATAATAAAATATTCCATTCTGACTATAAATATATTATTAATAGATTACCTGAAGGTTTGTCAAGAGAGCATGCGAGAGTCTCTTATACTATTCTAAAGATCCTATTCCATTAGAATCTATTTTTGGAAAGTCCAAACAAATTAAATCTTATTTGATATACACATTAGAGATTTATAAGAATTTATTAAATAGGAAAACGCAAAAATATAACTCAGAAAAAATTACTATTTCCTTAAAGTTGGCTAGAATGTGATGTATTTCCAGCATTACCATATGTATAGTGAAGTTCAAACTGATGGTATCCTTATAATCTCGAGAAAGAAAATAACCATTGAGTTATGAATGAACTTAAAGTCTTATTTTAACATCTGCTTGACTTAAAGATGCTAGCTGAAACTTTCTCAAAATAATTTCGTCATATCCCTTACTATGTTTTTAATATAGTTTCAGCTAATTTTGGGATTTTAGGATTTCATCGTATCCCTCACTATGTTTTAATATAGTTTCGGCTGTTTATTAATTGCCTTTTTTGAATTTTATCCCTCATCTTTAGCTTGAATATAATAGAAAGACTTTTGGGAAAATGATACAAGACATAGATAATAATTATAGAGAAATGGTTAGTACAAATAAGATATTATACTACAAAATCAAGAATCTGAAGATGCAAGTACATGAGGCAGAAAAAGAGCTAGCAACTATAAAGTCAGATTCTATTCATTAGTTGAGACACTTTTTTCAAAAATTTTATCTCATCTAACTCGTATCCTGTGAAGATAGTTTGGAGACACTGTTAAATCAAAGATAATAAAATTGCGATTAGTCAAATAGTTAATGACATCTTCATATATACTATGCCAATCATAAGCATATAGGCGGAGAATTCTGCATAATTCTTCTGAAGTAGACCTATTATAAAGTACAATGTAATTTAAGTTTTTTTTTGGCAAAATTTCGTTTACCTCAGATAAGAGAAATCATATAATTTTTTTTGGCAAAAGTTTATGACCAATTATCAGAATGTCACGTGAAATTTTTGAAGGAAAATTAGCTGAGAGGTGTTTTGCATGAATTAGCTAAAGTACTTTTTTCCTTGCGTTTCTGCCTCACTTCTATCTTTTTCTGCAGGTTCAATAGTATGTCAAACCTTAGCCAAATTGCAAGAGGGTCATTCTCTGACCTAGTGAAATCAAATACAACAAACTCACTCTCTTTGTAGAGATAGCTATTAATAACCATTGATGCATTTTTTATATCATCGGTATAACATCTAATAATTTTGGAGACATCTTCATACGAGCTACCAGAATTAAAAAGTACTAAGTAATTAGCATTTTCACGCATAAATATATCTATTTTATGATATTTTTGTGCTACATATATGTATGAAATATTCCAATGTTAACTATTCCCAAAAAATTTGCTGATTTGTTTTTGTACATGCTCTGGAACAAGACATAAATCCTCAAAAATAATTGCTGTGTTTCTCTTAGGCGAAAATGCTCTTGTACTAAGAATTTTTTCAGGTGAGATATATTTGAAAGTAATATTTTCATAGTAAAGTGCTTTCAGATCTTTTAAAATTATGCTATATATATGTCTTACGAATGCCCAGTTTGGTTCATCAGGATGATAACCACAAACTATCAAATCATTACATACAATATATCTAGACCTGCTTTTTTACCTTTATATATACATTCAGATATATCACTAAGAAAGAGATTTACCAAAATATTAATGTAACTACTAAACTAAAAGGGCAGTCAGAACTTGCTGTATGACCTTTTGCTTGAGATAACATATGCTTAGTGGTCTCATCCATATCTATAAGAAAAAGTTTCATAAGGGATAGTTCTGTCTTTTGGTTTTTTCGCATGATGGATTGGGAATCTATAACTCTGATTTCTATAAACTGGATAAAAAATTTCTTCCTTTTTGATTAGACGAAAAATTCATTTGTATATATATTATATAATTAATATTATTACGAAGGTAAAATAACAAACTTGAATATAGGCAGAATTATATACTGATCATTAACTAAAGTATTGCTACCTTTTAACATAATAACAAGTACAGTGAATACTATCATAATCTCCTTTTTCATCAGATTCGTGCTTTGAGTAGTGTGAAGAAAAATGAAGTATCTCTTCTACTATTTCATCATGCTTATAATCGTTGGATGATGAGGCTGAGTTCGCTTTTGCACTACCTATTTTTGAATCATGAATTGTCTGATGCAGTTGCGAAACAACCTGATCTAATTCATCTTCCAGATTACTTATCCTGGATCTGAGACAGAAAATTAACCCATTCTTAAATGATGAATTTTGCGTAACTTTCTCCAGTTCATTTTCCAATTCCTTTGCTTTAATCTCAAGAGAGGAATTTCTACACAACTAGTTAGTATCGGAATCTTTTAATAAAACTTTTTACGTAGCTTGTTTTAACTCAGCCTCTAGTTCATTTATTTTAGTTCCAAGAGAGATGATATCAGAATCCTTCAAAGATGAAGCTTTTTGCATCGAAGATATTATGCTTTCCAGTAATTTAACCATAAACTTTAGTAATTTTATTTCTTTTAACTACTTAGCATTAAGATTGGCATGAGACTTTCATCTGCAAGTAATTTGGAAGACAAGCTTATTATTTAAACCATTTAGTTAATTAGCTAGGAGGTAATTTGATTTATAGTATTATGCATATGCTCATTTTCTTCATGCGAGTAATCTAGATCATTTTGTATACACTTATTTTTTTATCTAAGACATGATATTTAATTATAAGCTATTTGACAAATCTTATAAACTTTTCGCGATCTTTTTTTAGCTGTTCTTCAAGTTCTAATCAGCTCAGTGGATATCGATTAGATGGAAGGCTTCCAAGTTTACTGCTATTACTATTACCTACATCATTCAACATATAGATTCGAGGTATAGTTTTTTTATCCCACAAATATAGACAAAAAATAAAAATATTTTTCAAAATAATATGCTTTTCCTATATTTCTAAAATGATACATTTATCCTAATTATTCCAATAAATCTTTTCAAATTAATGTATTTATCCTATTTATTCTATTAAATTATTTTCGAAATACAGTAATACATTTTTTCTATTCATCCTATTAAATATTTTTTTGAAATATTTTATCTACAAAAAAAACATCATAATGATTATAGTTAGACAGCGTATAAATTGTAATGTGCCTTTATTTTCACCAGTTGATTACGATTTTATTATGCAATGTGAAAATGAAAGGCTAGGAACAAAAGTATTAGATGGATTGATGAACAAATATAACACATCAATAAAGCGCATATATCAGATTTGAAGAGGTGAAAAAGCTAATAGTATTACCTGAAATCAACCAATAGCTAATATTTCTAATACTACTTATGCGAGTGGATGTTTACCTGTAGTAAACTATGACTCACCTCCTATTATTTCCTCTCTACCTGTCTTACCACTGAAGAAAAATAGTTGAAAAAAAACAGGTAAAATAAGTGTAGTATCTACTAAGATAGAAACAGAAGTGTTTTCATAGCGTAGTTCTAATACCACTGACAATACTGATATTTTATCTAAAATGAGATTTGAACTTGAAGATGTATTAAAACAAATAGATAATATTAAATAACTTATTTCTTTTGACAAGTATTTTTATAGTACTTATTGCTTTACTAAGCCACTTTTTAGCTTTTGTAAGACGTTCTTCAAGCTTTGCACAGTTTACACACTTATTTTTAAACTATCATCACTAGTCGGGATTGAGTTATATGGCCTCTCTTTTGGCAGATCCTTGACTATTGAAGCCTTACTAATAGTTGGGATAATATATGTCTTTCCATGATCCTCTATGCAAAACTGATTTTTAGTTGGATCAGAAGAGTTAGCAGATACCTGAAGTAATGATTCATGTTTTTCTTTTAGTGAATCATTTACTTCTGGAATTTTACTAAAAGTTGGGATAGTATATGTCTTTTCATGATCCTCTATACGAAACTAATTTTAGTTAGATTAAGAATACTTTTGACTTTTCAAATTCCTGTTGTACCTAACCATAGTATTGACTTGAGCTCACCATTATCAACACAAGCATAATTTCCAACTATAGTGATAATTGGGTTCCCTTTCATATTATTTAAAGTGACCGCTACATTCGTATACCATCCTAGTGCTTCAAAGATATGTTCAGAATTACCTTTTATAGCAAACTTGAAAGGCTTATCAATTTTCCATCCAAGCGCTGCGGCAGTAGCTAAATTAAATCCATCAAACTCACTTGCATTATTTAAAAAAGATTCAGAGATTGGTAAGTTATTTATATTAGCATTCAAGTATTGTAGAAACGAAAACCACTCATCTTTTTTTGACTTCTCCTTCTGAGTCTTTTAAGACAGACATATTTTACACATTGCCGGTAAAAGCTTTAGTAATAGCTGATTATATGTTTTAGGCTGGCTAGTTACTGAAGATGGCCCATCATTTATCAGTTCCTTTTTTTACCAGTGCATAATACCACCTATTTTCTTCTAGATTATCATAACCATCTTCCTCATTATCTGAATCTGAAGATATATATTGGGACTGCATAAATGGAAGTTAAGGATAGTAATGTGTAATATTCGATTTAGCTACAGGATTTGCCAAAGATGCAAAAGCTAAGTTGAGACAATTATTTTCTTATGACCTTCCTGTTCACAATTGCTACAATAAAAAAGCTTTTGAGATTGTTCATTAAGTGATATCTTACTAAGCTTAAATGTTATTTGACTAATTTCATCTATCTTTGATTCTAATCTATTGTTTCTAGATGATTACAACTTTTCTGGCTTTTGCGGTTTAGGAGGTGGTCCATAAGCTTTTGCAACTTCTCTCATTATTTCTTCCTTAGTAAGTATATTGGAGAAAGGATTAGCACTTTCATATGTATCATGAATCTGTTTCATATTTTTAGGAGGAATTGGTGGAGGTATCTTTTAATTTGCTGAGCTATTTGTGATTGATAATCAACTTTTTGTTTTTCTAATAAAGACTGGTATTCAGTTTTTTGCTGTGTCAGTGCATTTTGGATTGCTTTTTGCATATCTTCTAAAGAAATTCCTTGTTGTTGTAAGACAAAAACAGATAAAGGTTCATATATTTGTCAAAATGCTCGTTAAGATATTAGTGGATCAGCTGTTCTATCTCTTTTATATCTAGCTATTTAACATAACTCTATTTTATAAAGCTTTTTGAATAATGTTTCTAATGTTAAATCTTCATTGATATCTTTAGCTTTTTCAAGCCATAGTAATAAAAGAGCATCTAAGAACTTTCTACATAATTCTTCAGGTCTATAGTTAGTTCATCTACCTATTCATAATATTTTTCTATATAATTCATCTATAATCATGTCTCCATTTATGATCATTTCATATATCATATCCCAAAGCTCTTCTTCTACTGTAGGAAAATGAGTTTTTAGCTAGTATACGGCTTGACTAAATCGAATACCAGCAAAAACTACTGTAGTACTATTACGTAGATTAACAGGATATTAGTAGAATAACTTCCTGCTACACGCCAATCTTCATCTCAAGGATCTTCTACAACTCTTAATTTGACTATTGCATTTTCAGATTGTTCAGCAGCCTTATTTAATCCATTAGCACCTATCTGAAGAGCTGTATATCTATTTATTGCAACCAAATTGACTTGTCCTGTACTATCAGTCAAGTTAGTTAACTCCCAATTTATCTTTGTAGTAATCTCCTCATTGAACTATTCTAGCATTCTTCCACTTATACATTCTCTCTTAAATACCCTATTGCTACTTCTTTTCCAGTTAGTGGACCACCTGCATTATCTGCTAAATTTACACCTTGATTTTGCAAGTATAACCTAAATTTTGTAAGAAAATCTGGAATATCATCATCTCACTTAAAAAATAGTTGGGAATTCCTATCATATTTAGTTGATTAGGTGAATTATTCTGTAACGCTAAAATTTGCTCCTGCAAATTTAAAATATTCTGATCTCTTTGCCTAATCACTAACTGAAAAACAAACTTTTCATGTAGCAACTTACCAATGTGAGTTTATTTTCTTGCTATAATAACTATCATCCTATTTACCTAGTTTTGAATATTAGTTTGATATTTCTAAAGTTCACCAATAACTCTTTGTTCCATTCTTTCAGCAAGGATTCTTTGTATTATTTTATTATCCCTTTTAGCCTATGCATCATAATGTCTTTTCTACTCTCGAGTTAAATCCTGTTGCAAACCATTAAATTTTTGATGAATTTGTCTTACTACCCTTTTTATTTAGTCTAATAAGATATCTATATGTATTGTCCTATTATCTATATAACTATCTATAGCATCTACTAGCTCTATAATTGTGGTTATATTATTATCAGAATTATACAGGTCAGAAGAATTCCCTTATACTGGTGAATTTTTCCTTAATGAGATAGTTCTAATTTGACATCACAATTTTTCCATCTGCTTCTCAGATTCTACTAACTGCTTTTCTAAACTAGAAATAAGTGATACCTGTCTAAACTCTTTTTTGAAATATTGTAGTTTCGTCAAAAGTTTCATTTCTTTAATATTTTTATATGAATAAATATAAAATTATTATATTTTTTAATATATTTTAATTCAAGAAATTTAGAACAAATTAAATATAATTTCAGCAATTAAGTAAAATAATTTCATCATTAATAAAAAAACTAGTTTCGTCATTTCGGTTTTATCAATTTCGTTATATTAAGAAAGATAATTTCATCAGGTATCACTAATTGATAGTTATATATAGGGTTCCGCAATTCGATTTGATATTTGAATATTTGATTTGATTCGATCAAATTCAAATCAAAGAATAATTTATTT